ATGGTTACCAAAAGACATAAAAGAGAACATTCATAGCAACACTATTTGAAATAGTTTCAAACTGGAAAGTGCCCATCAGCAGTACAATGACAAATGTATGGATACACACTTATATGTACATATACATATACATACACACACACACATACAACATACATACATAGACACACACACACAGAATAAAATATTTCTTTAAAAACTTGTGGTATCCACACAATGGAATGCTATATAGATAGACAGATAGGTAGATGGACAGATTACAGAGTAATGAGAACCTGTCTACAATAAGGATGAATTTTGCCAAGGTAATATTGGACATAAAAAGCGAGTCATAAAAGAATATATAATTGTATGATTCCACTTATATAAAGTCAAAAAGCAGATTAAATTAATCTGTGTAGTTGAAAGTCTAATAAGGGTAACTTTTGGAGAGGCAGGTAGTAATTAGAAGGAGGCAAAAGAAGACCCCTTGTTGCTGTGTTCTATTCCTTGTTGCCAATGTGCTGTTTCTTGATCTGGTTATTGGTTACACAAGTTGAAAAGTGTGAAAATTCACCATGCTGTGCCTTTGATATGTGCACATTTCTGTATATTTATTATGCTTCATTAAAAAGTACACATATAATAAGTATATATTCAATAAAAAGTAAATTACAAGTAACATAAAAAGAGATGGAAACTTTAAGAAGGAATCAAGAGAAAATGTTAGAAATCAAAACCACCATAACAGAAATGAAGAATGCCTTTGATGGGATCAGCCACAGACTGGAAACTGCCAAGGAAAGAATTGGTGATATTGAAGAAATGTCAATAGGAAACACTGAAGATAAAATCCAAAGAGAAAAAAGAATAAAAAGAGAACAGAGTATCTAAGAACAATAAAACAATTTAAAAAGGTATAACATATACATATGGGACTATCAGAAGGAGAAGAAAGAGAAAAAGGAAAAGAAGAAATATTTGAAGCAGTAATGACATTATGAGGATTTCATAGAACCAATGATGGATACCAAATCACAGATCTAGGAAGCTCAGAGAAAACCAAGCTGGATAAGAACCAAAAAGTCTACACCTAGGAAAATCATACTTAAACTACACAGAATCAAAGACAAACAAAAATCTTTAAGAAGCCAGAGGAAAAATTAACTATAGAGGAAAGGGATAAGAATTACATCAGAATCACATGGTTTGGAAACCATACAAGCAAGAAGAGAGTGGAGTGAAATATCCAAAATGCTAAAGAAAAAGAATAACAACTGTGATGATTAATTATATGTGTCAACTTGACTGGGCCAAGCGATGCCCAGATAGGTGGTCAAACATTATTTCTGGTATGTCTGTGAGGGAGTTTCTAGAAAAGATTAGCATTTTAATCAGTAGACCAAAGACCTGCCTTCACCAAGGTGGGTTGGCATTATCCAATGCATTAAGGGCATAAATAGAGCAAAAAGGCAGAGGAGGAGCAAATTCACTCTCTCTTCTTGAGCTGGCCCATCCATCTTCTCCTGTCCTCAGATATCGAAGCTCCCAGTTCTCAAGCCTTCAGATTTTGGGAATTACTATTTCCACCCCTGCAGCCCTATTCTTGGCCTTTGGACTTAGAATAAATTACACCACCAGCTTCCTGGTACTCCAGCTTGCAGATGGTAGGACTTCTTGAGCTCCATAATTGCATGGGCCAATTCCAATAATAAATCACTCTAGCTAGCTAGCCAGCCAGTCAGCCTGCCTGCCTGCCTATTGGTTCCATTTCTCTATTTCTTTGGAGAACCTTGATTAATACACCAACCTAGATTTCTGTACCCAGAGAAATTAGGCTTTAAAAGTGAAGAAAAATCAAGACTTTCTCAGACAAACAAAAATTGAGGGAATTTGTCACCAGTAAACCTGCCTTGCAAGAAAGGTTAAAAGTTCTTCAGAGAGAAGGAAAATAACATAGGTCAGAAATTTGGATGTATACTAAGAAAGAAAGAGCAGTATAGAAGGAATAAATGAAGGTAAAAATAAACCTTTTATATTTTATTCTTAATCTAACAGGTAATAGTTTGCTCAAAATAATAATAGCAACATTATATTTAGTGATTATAGCTTATGTATAACAAAATGAATGACAGCAATTTTATAAGGAACGGGAGAGAGAAATTGTGAATACTTTCCAATAAGGTATAGTTGACCCTTGGACATCCTGTGCAGTCAATGAAAATTTGCTTATAACTTTTGTCCCCCACCACCCCATGTTATTTAAGTAATAAATTATTTGAATAATAGTTTGCTAATAGCACACTGTTAGATAGGCTACTTAACTGTTTGGTTAGGTAAGGATACATGATATACCTAGCCAAAAATTTTCCAATATATTTATTGAAAAAAAAAATCCATGTATAAGTAGACCTGCACAGTTCAAATCTGTGTTGTTCAACAGTTTGCTCTACTTGCACTACCTGTGTAGTGGTACAGTGTTATTTGAAAGTTGACTTGGATTAGTTGTAAATGTATATTGCAAAAGCAAGGAATAAAAAAGGGAGTATAATTGACATGGTGAGAGAAAGAAAAAAAAGGAATCATACAAAATAATTAAAGCAAGAGAAGGCAGAAAAGCACAATCCATAAAAGAAAAAAAATCATGAGTTCGACTTTATTAAAATTAAAAACTTCTGCTCTGCAAAAGACACTGTGAAGAGAATAAAAAGATAAAAAGATACTGACTGGGAGAAAAATCTTTGCAAAATATGTAAGTATATAAGATAAACTACTGGTATCCAAGATATGCAAACGACTCAAATCTCAACAATATGAAAACACATAATCTAATTATAAGTGAGCAAAAGATCTGAACAGACATCTCACCAAAGAAGATATGCAGATGGCAAATAAACATATGAAAAGATGCTCATCATCATATGCCATCAGGGAATTGCAAACTAAAACAATGAGATATCACTGCACACCTATTAGAATGGCCAAAATCTAAAACACTGACAACACCAAATGCTGACAGGGATGTGGAGCAACAGGAGCTCTCATTCATTGCTGGTAGAAACACAAAAGGATACAGCCACTTTGGAAGACAGTTTGGCAGTTTCTTACAAAACTAAACATACTTTTACCATATGATCCAGCAATCTCATTCCTTCATATTCACCCAAATGAACTGAAAGTCTCAAGACTACACAAAAACCTGAACACAAACATTTACAGCAGCTTTATTCATAATTGCCAAAACTTGGAGGCAAATAAGATGCCTTTCAAATATGTAAATAGATAAACTGTGGTACATCCATAAAATGGAGTATTATTTAGAGATAAAATGAAATGAGGTTTAATGCCATAAAAAGATGTGGAAGAAACTTAAATGCATATTGCTAAGCAAAAGAGCCAATCTGAAAAGGCAACATACTGTATGATTCCAACCATATGCCATTTTGGAAAAGGCAAAACTACAGAGACAGTGATAAAGATCAGTGGTTGCCATGGGTTAAAGGCATCCAGGGAAGGAGGGATGAATAGGAGGAGCACAGAGGATTTTTAGGTCAGTGAACTATTTATCTGCATGATACCGTAATGGTGAATACATCCTTTATACATCTGTCAAAACCAGTAGAATACACAACACAAAGAGTGAACCCTAATGTAAACTACAGACTTTAATTAATAATAATATATCAATAGTAGCTCATCAGTTGTAACAAATGTACTATACTAATGCAAGGTGTCAAAAATAGGGGAAATGGTAGGGGGTAGGTTGTAAGGGAATATTGGGAACTCTGTAGTTTCTGTTGATTTTTTTCTGCAAACCTAACACTGTGCCCCCGCCCAAATAAAGTCTATGAATTTTTAAAAGTTTGTTATATGTATAAATATAGTTTTCTTATACTAATTTAACTAGCTGACAAGTATCTCTGAGATAATGTGAATAATAAAGAAGAAAAACATAAATAGGAAAGCTTTAGGTTATATTACACATGAACTTTTGAATATCACGGTTTTGAGGAAGTTTAACATGATGTTATAGAACATCTTCATAACAATGTTGGTAAAAATATGGCACTATAGTGCACCGATATACTGTAGTTAACTTCGTGAGCAGGAAGACTTATTTATCTAGTTGCAATCCACATTCTGAGAAACAGATGAGCCCACAGTTCCATAATGGATGAAAAGTAAAATATTGGCCATACTTCTTTTATTCCTCTTCTGGTCTTTGCTTCTTTAAAGTGCTTTTATTTTATTTTTACCATTTATTCATTTACTTCGATGGGCAAAAGACAATAAGAATAAACCTAATCTTAATATGACAATTTATCACAGCCATCATTTTTCTATTTTACACAGCTCTAAAATGACAGAGATGAAAGTGTTTTACTGTGGGAAGCCAGCCACATGGAAATGAGTACCTTCATCAAATTGGGCCACATGTTCATAACTAAGTAAATCATTTAAACCACATGAAGGTAAATGTTGAGTGATAAAGCCGAGAGACCTTACTTTGTCAAAACAAGTAGAAAACAATCCAAGATAATACAGTGTGTGTGAACACGGGACATCTGTAATTTCTAGAAAGTCCAACTAACATTTCTATGAACCGAAGTACATGTTAGGAATAACTGTAACATGCTCTGTATGGGTAGGAATCTTATCTTATTGCCATGTTTGTATGGTATGGCATATAATAGGGTCAATTCAGCTTTGCTGAATAAATGAATGAATGAATGAATGATGTTTTCTCCTAAGAGGGGAGAATGACCTACAAATTAAAAGATATTTTAACTCAACTTAGCAGTTCTCCAAATTTGATTCACATCAATTCCTTCTTCTAAGGTTCTGAGCTCAAGGCATATTTGCATGGGAAATGCGGTGAGGCAGAATGGAAACAGATTTTACTAAGTTCAAGTAATTGCTGCTTGATCTTTAGAACTGGTCAAAATTTCACGTAAAGAAAGGATTAGCTAAACAGATGTTTATTCTTATGTTTAGTACAACTTGGAAAATAGACCTTTTACCTTATGAAATCTTCCTCCTCTTCTCTCTTTGGCCTCAGCTGTTTGGGTTGGGCCATATTAATCCAGTTAGGTAGAGATTTCAAGAGTCTGCTGATATCATCATCTTTTGCCCAAGATGCACTGATGACAAGTTTTTCCTCTGACTGGACAATGCCCCTAAACACAGCCAACAGAAAGAAGACACTTCAGCACAACGCCTGGTATTCATACAGCATTTTTCATCTACCTTCACTGAAGAAAAAAGCTATTACATCCGTCTCTCTTTTTAATATAATCCATTATCTGAATTGGAGGTTATGAGATCCATTAATAGGTCACTTTACTGGGAAATACCATTTCTAGATTTCATTCTTAGTTTCCTAATTGCTGAGTAACTGTGAGAGCTAGCACTACTAATTAATTCCCCTTATAGTTAATCCCTTAGGATAAATAAAAGTGTATAGTAGGTCTGGGGGAGGGGGTAATCTTTTAAGAAAATGTTGGATAAATAAAAAGTGGGGTGGCCATATAAAAGAATGCTATTAAATTACAACAGAAAAGGTACCTAAAAGGTGACAAAAGGGTTACAAAGGTTGTTCTCTCACTTCTTGATTTAAACTACCAATTAGTTCTACTTGAAGGTATTTTTTGAACTATGGACACCCCTCTATTCAAAGCAAATCTACCATCATAAAGAAACCCTCTGCCCCAGATGTCAGGCAGAAAAAGCCTTTGATTATTGCCATCTCCAGTGGGCTTTGACCAAAGACCTAGAGTTGACAGGCTTCAAGTCCTTTAATAGGGCTCATGGGTTAGCTATTAACAAGGCACTTACAAGAATCTACCTGTAAATTCATCTTAAATGTTCAATTTCAACTTAATTAAAAATCTTCTCTTTCTATTCAACACTTCCATCACTATAACTAATTTCAATGGTCTAAAAATCCTCGTCAGCAATACTAGGCAACAGAAATGACATCTATTTATAAAGGGAGTGCTAATTAGCTGGATACCCTTCTGAAGCTGACCAAGACTCCAGGAAGTTCCCCCCATCGTGGAGAGAAATCTATTTTGGTATAAGGGTCATAATGAGGGCCATTACATACTTCCAGATAAACAATACATATGATAGGATATGTATGTATGCATTATATCTGATAAAACCTCCCTGACTCAACACCCAATTTAATGTTTGTAGATAAAAGACCTCTCCAAAGTCTACTCTATGATTTAACCCACTGACTGCTGTTTGAAATTTTTTTTAGTTATGTTTGCCATTTCTAGATTTTCTATTTGGCTGTTTTACAAATCTACTGGCTGCCCCCTCCAAAATGTCCTGTTCTTGTATTATGGATTCTATTCTTCCCTTTACACCTAAACCTTGGCAACAACAGCCTGACTCAAGGTATCATGATCTCATGTTGCAGGCAGCAATATTGTCCTGGTTTTCATAAAATAGTTAGAATAAATAAGAGAACTATGGGTGATCTTTAGAATTCTTCCATTCATTATAAGCAAAAGTTTTCTAACAGTAACTGTGCTCAGAGATACAAAAATTAGACTACAGAACCTTCTTCCGTCCAATCTCTCAAGTTACCCTCTCACTGACACCGCCTATTCCCTCCTTTCTCTTGTGATTTCCATGTGTCTTTTCTGTAATATTTATGAATTAATCCAACAATCTAACTTTTACAATCTTATGCTTTCTTTGCTGGGTGCAATCTCATAGAATGGTACCACCTTGGATTTATGATATTCTCTTGGACCTCAATGTTCGCTGGCATTCTTTATGCCTGTTTCTGATCAGCTTCCTCTCCCCACTTCCCTCAGCGGCTAGTTTTTAACCCTTTGCCTTTTCTGTATTTCCTCAGTGTTTATCCTCACATACTTTCTATTTGAAAGAGAAAGGAAGGGACCTGAGTACATACTTTCAAACATTCTACCTCCTACCCCCCAATAGAAATATGTTCAAATCTGCTTCATGCTCATTTGTTTCCAGTAATCCCTCTAATTAGGCTCTTGGGGATCCTTTCTCCCCCAATTATCCCCTCTTTTTCCTGAATTTTTAGTATCTCCTCCTCAATATATTCCTCAACCCCTATGTTATTTTTTCAAAACAATGACTGAGTGAATGAATGAGTATCTTCCCTGATCCAGCATTCCTCTCTAACAAAGCTCCTCTCTCCTTCAAAGACACTCATCAAATGAGTTACAAACCTAAGTTCAGAAACCTGCTCTATGGGTTCCACTGGTTCCAAATAAGTTTTTAAAAAATTTATTTTTTCTTTTTTGGTTTAAGTTTCTCCTCCCTACATGGGTAGTGCAAATTGAGGTCCTTACTTGCAGGTATCACATGTGTGGGATGCTGATTTCTTTTAGGGGCTACTTTTCTACTCCAGGTTGGGTGGCTCATTCTCAGGTCCAGAGTTTTTCTGGTTCCATTCATGAATGGAATAGCCCCTAGCGTGACTTCTGCACAAATAAAGCTCCCTCTGTGTCTTGTAGGTGTTAAAATGCCAGCCCCATCTGACTTCTATATGTGGTCCTGATACCCACGTGGGTCATTCATGTCAACGTTTGCTTGTTTCTATGGCTTTTAATTCGTCTTTCATTCATAGCATCTGGAGAACTCTTTCTTCCTTTTGAGTTTGGATGCATATTTAAAATACTTTTAAAGTTATAAATCTTTATTCAGAATTTCTATATGCTAGGAACAGAAAAGGGGCTTCCGAAATCTATTTACTCCACACTTTTGACAGGAAGTCAAAATTCAGTCTCAAACCAATTGGAACTAGGGTTCTAAAATCACTATTCCAGCAAAATTGCTCCACCATCCCGTAGGCATGCTTTATGCTTCATGCTCTTTGACCATTCTAAAGCATCCTATATTTTTGATTACTCTCTTCTTGAAATATTACTTCTTTGCTTTCCACGTCATCATTTTCTCTTGGTTCTACTCCTGCCATCTTAACCTGTTTCTTAGCCAGACCGATGGCTCTTTTCCGCTGTCCATGCTGTATATGTGGTGTTCCACAGGACTCTGCATTTCTCACTGGGGCAATCTCATCTTCTTGCCGGACTTGACCCACCTATATTTTGATGACTCCCAAATTAATATCTTCAGAGCAGCCCACTATTGTAAGTCTTGGTCCTGTGTATCCAAAGGTTTACTGGAGAACTCTACTTGAAAGTCCCACCATCATTTTAAGTTAAAATGAGTCAAAAGCAACTCACTTATTACCTGCCTCTCTCTCTCTCTCGAACGAACCATCTAGTCTTCCTTATTCAAGTCATCGTGTTACCCACCATCACCATGTCCTACCAATTCCACCTTCTTCATACCTTATAAATCTGTCGTTTCCTTTCCAGGTTCACTGCCATTAACCTATATTTAAACCCTCATTATTTCTCACTTAAACTTGGCAATAACCTTGTAACTGAGTGTCTTGCCTAGCGCTACAAGACCATCCGTCCAACTCATCACACTAGTCAGAAGAGACATTTTTCTAAACTACAAATACAATCACATTATTCCCCTTCTCAGAACTTTTCAGTGATGCCTAATTCCATATAAAACAAAGACCGGGCTTAGCAAGGCATAACATCTACCTTCCCAGCTTTGTCTCCTGCTATTACCTTCCTCCTTTGTCTCTGTTCACTATTCCCAGTCCAGCCCCTGCCTGTGTTGGCTGACCACCCTATCCACAATGAGAATTCTAATGTTTCTGGAATGGGATGCACTGTTTCCTGCTTCTGTGTGTCCTCTGCCTACAGAGCTTTTTCTCACCTTCCAAGCTGTTTGCCTCTATTACCCAGCATTGCTCTGATTCCTCCCTTGGTACATCTGGGTTCTCTCTTTCAGGCCTCATTACCCTTATGCCAGAGGTTTTCAACCTTCACTGCACCTTAGAAGCACTTGGGGGAGCTATTTGAAAAACTAGACACCAAGGCCATACACAAGACCAAGTAAATCAGAACCTCTGGCAGGTGGGACCCAGGCAACAGAATTTTAAAAAGCTTCCCACATGATTCAAATGTGCACTGAAGGGTGACAAGCACTGTCTTACACAGACCTCTACTCTCACTAGTCCTAGTGCACTTTTTTACAAGTTGGAATCCCACACTGATGAGTTCTCTGAGGGTAGAGTTGATTTCTTCCTAGTTTTTATGTCCCTAGTACCTAGCACAATACATGGTATTTGTAAGGTGTATAAAAACTGAACTGTAGGGGCCGGCCCGGTGGCGCACTGCTACAGTGCGCCGCTTGGGGGTGCGGTGGCGCTCCCGCCGAGGGTTCAGATCCCACATACAGACCGGTTCCCGCTCACTGGCTGAGCGAGGTGCGGGCGCAGCACCAAGGTTTGCGATCCCGTGGCCGGTCCCGGTCCGGTACGGGCGCGACACTGAGGGTTGCAATCCATTGCCGGTCACACAAAAAAAAGACAAAAAGGAAAAAAAAAAAAAAAACTGAACTGTAGATAAAAATAAGCCCTCTTGGGGCTGGCCGTTTACCTCAGTTGGTTAGAGAAAGGCCTTACAACACCAAGGTCAAGGGTTCAGTTCCACCACACCAGCCGACCACCAGAAAAAAAAATGCTCTCTTCAGTTTTAGGAGTCTAGTCTTATTAAACTAAAGCCATTTTTGTGGTTTCCCTTTTCTTCTCTGCACTAAACAACTTAGATGAGCTATCAGATCATTTGGCGTTTAACCTCATCACAGTCACTCCGCGCATGCCCTTCAGCATGCCTCTCTGAATTCAGCCCAAGTCAGAATAATGAATATGGGTGTGCCCCCTCTGAAAAAAATCCAACATAAAAAGTTCCAACTTATAAAACAAAAGAAGCAAGGTATGGTTATTGACAAGCCTTCCCTTCTACTGCACTTACATCTAGGTGGCCCATTGTAGGAAAGTCTCCTCAAAAACTCACTTTCTCTGTAAAGAATTTGTTGACTGTGTCAGCTTACTGTGATCTCTCCCTTTGGGAAGGAAACAAACAAAAACACTCCTTTCATACCATCTACGTCACAATTAGCACTTTGTCCTATACAATGGGGTTGGTACGTTACAGCCTGTGGGCTGAATCTGCCTATCAGCTATAAGGTAAGAATAGTGTTGACATTTTAAAATAGTTTTTGTAAAATTATTATTTTTTTCTTTTTTTTTAAATTTAATTTT